TAGAAATCTTTGTTCAAAAACTTAAAGGACATGTAGTTGCTAGATGCATTTCATAAAACATAAAGTTATCGGTCACGCAAGATTGGCTCCCACGATACACTTCTTCAGAACTCAAGCTCTCTGATTACTTAAGCATTTTGGCATCAACATGTAAGCCAGCTTGAATGTCAGAATTCAATGGCTCGTCTTGTTCCTTCAGCGGTGCAGATCTCACTATGACCTCCGCAACCCATGTCCGAGACATCATGAGTTTGCTATAGGATGGACCCCAAACAAATCGATCTGATGTCCAACACATGACCGTGGTCAAAAATCCTGACAACCACGGCTGCCCTAAAACCAACAAAATGGGCTACTACTAGGAGGGTCAATCTTCATGGCAGTGCGGGGCTAGGACCCATAGCCCCACGTTTGAACAGGTTTTACTCTGTAGTTTGGATAAATTTTGAGATCAAAGGTGGCCCTTCCATGCTGCCCAAGTCTCAAGTGCTTCTCCCAGTTGAAGTTTTCACGCTCGTTCTGTCGGGTGCAGCTCCTGGGCTTCGAGCGGGTTGAGCTTTTCCTCCTGTCCATGCCGAGCGGGGTCCTATTAAATAGCCCAAGGACTATGAGGGGCATCGCTGGCTGGAATCTGTCTTGGAACCCGTTGTGATCTACATAATGAGGGCGATTAAAAATAGAAAATGCACAAAAATAGCAGGACAAAGCAAAGTGATATGAAGAGATGTGTGCCCACATGTCTTAATCTGAGCCGTTCAAAACAACAACGGCCACTACCTGTGGTACAAAAGCTCGGACATTGCACGATTCTCTTGAGTAGATTCAGAACATTTCCCTACTCTAATACACACCCAATTCTTCAACTAGTCCCAAACGAGCTTCCTCTCATCAGGGGCGCCTGGTATGTCGAGCGCTTAAGGCTGCGGTCTTCGGACCGTGACTAGCGGGGTTCAATCCCGGTGGCCCGCTCGGTGACAGGGTGCTCCCATCGGTTCCGGCGGGGATAGCGGTGTGGGCCCGGACCGGTAGGTGCGACCGGGTGCAGCCCAAACAACAACAAGCTTCTTCTCATCAGTCTTGCCGCACTGCCTCCGCTGCCACTTTGTCAGCTGGGGCTGCGTTGGCTGCCAGCGTAGAATGATGCAATGTCCATGCAACCCTGAGCAAGCGGCACTTGTTGGAACACATAATGCTGCTGTTGACGGCGCATCTGTTGCAAGATGTGCAACACTCCTTTGATTTTGCCTATAGCATGATTGTGTGACCATGCTTGATCCATCCTGGGCACGAATGATCCTTGAGTCAGAGCATAAAATACCAACAAATGGCCTATGTTGTTCTGGATGCCTCTGCGCGCCCCTCGTCCCATGTCCATCACCTCAATCTACATCCGCAACACCGTCACACCCAAATAGGCAACCGCAAGTGAAGCGGGCTCTATGCCTAGCTTGAACGACAACACAAACATCTCCTCCAAACCCTTCGGCCAACTGCATCCAAATGGGTGGAACAAGGCACTGGCATGGTGTCGGTTGGTGGCGAGGATGGCCCGGAGCCACCTCAAAAAACACTTGTATCTGGCGTGGGCGAACTCATGAACGTACTCCAAGTAGTTTTGGGCCAGTTTTGGGCCAGTTTTGGGGGACTCCCCAAAGAATCAACATTTAGCAAATGAAATTACTGTACATGCAATCTATTTTGAAGAAAGACTTCGCCAACTTCGCCAACAATCGGATTGCCTCGTGGCTTGCTGGACTCGGTTCGTGAGCGTGAGTTGATCCTGAGGCAAGGCCCAATTGCATACTGAGCTGCCGGGGTCTGGAGGCTTTGTTTTGACCCCAGCTGCCACCGGCATCCATCAGCACCGGCTGCACGATGAGTATGCCTCCGTATGCCACCTTCCTGGCATGAACGAACCCAAGCATCTGCAATCTTGAAAATGCTTCACGACTGCATGTTCTGTGCTGATGCGTACTTTAGCCTCAAGACTCAAGTCGCTAGATATATATATATATATATTATATATATATATATATGTGTGTGTGTGTTTTCTTGTTGTTTTTTTTGATTGCGTGCCTTGCCAAAACTAAAACGGCCGAGCGTGCTTCTTCAACACAAATCAAGGTGCAGCTTGTCAACGATGAGCAGTATGTCAGTCTGGCCTTCTTGCTGGAGAGCAGTTTTATCCCGCAAAGCTGTTTTCCTATGTTTTCCTGGAAATCCAGGTCATGTGCTAGTAAGCAGTTCCCAACATGTGGGGTGTTCTCGCCTTGCATCGAGAATCAGCTCATCCTCCTTCAATAACCAGCTGGGCCGCTTCCCGTCTGAGATGGGCAGCCCATCTTTGCCAGCATTCAAGACGTAGCGTGGGGGTTTGGTGGTCATTGGCAAACCTAGGGGCCGGACAAAGGCCAACAATTGTTGCCCGACAAAGAATCACAAATGATCACGAATGGGACGAATGGCTCCAAAGAAGAAGACCAAGAAGTTGGATATTACACTACCAACAATGGTGCGTGCCATGCAATACACGTGCGGTAGAGCAAGAGTCCCTGGTGTTTTGAGCCGTCAAATACCATAATGCAATAATGCGGGGTGTCTTACTTAAGGGGACCCCACTGGGGAACCGCTCCCACAGCCCCTGGAAGTAATCATTCTGACATATTTTGACCCCTTCCAGGCACTGAATACTCAACCATGTATTCACATTGCAGAGTTCCACACTTCCGCCATAATGCAGCCCAGCATCTTTCGACCACAGCCGGCATCTCTGCCTTTGGCACCGGCTGCGATGGCGCCGGCTGCGGTGAGGGCATCGGTGCCGCCGGCTGTGCCGCTGGTGCCGCAGACTGCGCCGGTGGCGCCGGCGCAGCCGGAGTGCAACGAGGGACGGCCAAGTCTGAGGACTTCTGGTAGCCAATTTGAATCATTCTCGCCTGGAATGACTTGAGGCCAAGGGGGGGGCGAAAGCTAGCGCTCCAGAATGGGAAAGTGGAGGGCAGCGAGGTAGGAAAAAACACGGCGCTCTTTTTGGAGGCAGGGGTGAAGAGTCCTTTATATGTGGCTCTTTGCCCGGATCCTCCTGCGAGAGAAGAGAGAGAAGAGAGACGGAAAGACGAGAGACAGAGAGGAGAGAGAGAGAGAGAGAGGAGAGAGAGATGAGAGAGATGAGAAAGAGATGAGAGAGATGAGAGAGATGAGAGAGAGAGAGACAGTGAGACAGTGAGACAGTGAGACAGTGAGACAGTGAGACAGTGAGAGTGAGCGAGTGCGGCCGCAAGATACGCAACGCTAACCGCATGCCAAAGAGCGACGACAGGACGGAGTCGAACTTGCGAAGAGGGAGGAGGGAGGGAGGGAGGGAAGGTGGGAGGAAGACAAGGAGGAGGAGAGGGGAGGTGGGGTGGGGAGAAAGGAGAGGGGAGAGGGGAGAGGGGAGGAGGGGAGAGGGGCGGAGGGGAGGGAGGGGGGGGGTCTTTGACCTGAAAAATCAGGGGTTAGGATTTGCACCCGGTCGAAAGAAACCTTGCTATCGCAAGAGTAACTCCAGCTAGCTTCGCTAGCTTTCGTGATTGCACAGATCAACTGTTTCAGAGTTGAGCCCCAGTTTTTCAAGCTTTGGGAGCCGAAGTTGCAAGGCTGCAACCCGAAGTTGCAGTTTAAATTCGGAAAGCACCTTGCAAGGAACATGATTTGGGCTGACTTCTCTGGAGTGAAGCTATTTGGCCTCCACATCATCCATTTGCAAGGGGCTTCCCACGCAAATGTGACAGCCACTGCCAGCAGAGGTCAATGGGCAGTCCTGACATGGACCCATTCGACTACGACAACGGAGAAAAAACATATCTGAACCATGAAGTTCTACCTGATATTTCAATTGATCACCAATGTTGGACTATCATGGACTATCCCATAACCAGTTTCTTTTTTGGACAATTGTGGAACACCCAAGCCAGGATCTTAAACCTCTGGTCCACAAGTGATACAGTAATGTTTGCTGGGTCAGAGGCATCAGAACCTATTTTGAATCCTTCTTGGAACAAATCGAATCAGCCACGTATCCGCTTCCCCACACTGACCTGGGATTTTGAGCATATGAGTCAGTGGTTTCAATCATCCCAAGTAATAAATAGTTGAAAATAGAAATACCTGAAACCACCACCCGGTGTCTCATCCTCCCAACATGTCGTGCGTCCTCCCAGCCGTGCACTTCCCAGCCCGGCGCATCAATGGGCCGATTGCTCAGCAACGGCATGCGCGCATCGAGTGCGCCCGCGGGCGCACGAAGCGGCGGCAGGAGGAGCACTGGAACCTGGCGGGAGAAGTGTGGACGAAACGTGTGACATGATTCCTCCCATGAGATGTGCCTGGTTTGTTCGGGTTCTAGCTTTCGATTGTTGGAAGTTGGAGTTGCTGGGCCTGTGATCTAAGTGCCTTGCCGACACATTGGACTTGAGAGAGGAGGGGGTGAACGAAAGGTAGCAGGCAATCACAAGTAACCCTGGTAGAAGTCCATGACGGCGTGAACCGGCGCAGGGGGGATTTGATCCGGGGGGGGGCCCAGGCCCCAGGACCAAACTCAATGCACAATCCCAACTCCTGATTGTAATACATTTTTGCTAAAGCAAGGAGAACTCAGGTAGCTCAAGCTACCTTTCGTGACTTGCAACACACTCCCTCCCGGAAGCACAATTTTTACAAATGTCTGACTATTTCTTGGGAGTTCAAGGCTCCAGGTTTGGCCATTCACTTAAAGGCTGGAAAGCTGAGAGCCTCCTGAACGTGGATTTTGTCAGACTAAGGTTGAGGCAATGCAAAGCTCAAGTCTTCTCTCGACTCCGCCTCATCTGATGGCTGAGAACCAGCGCATATGTTAAGTCACCCAGGCTTGCACAAAGTCATCCGGCCGCATGGAAACCCGGCACTAGAGAGAAGTCACCTGGTTTGCGAAAAGTACTGTAACCTGTTCTATGTTACAACACCATGGAACTGCGTGTTCGAAATGTAAAACACACAAACTTTTTGCACAAGCACCAACGCCTTAACATGAGCACTAGCAGAGTATAGTACATACATTTTTTATATAGAATGTAGCTTATCCTTTCTACTCTACACAAAGGGTGCCATCAACATATCTGGTAAACGTTGGATTTTGATATGTATCACACACGGTCTCCAAGAAATGAGGGGTACGGGTGCGGGTCTGTTTTTGATTGGGCCATTGAATCACTTCTGTGTCCGGTTTCCCTGACTTCCACTGGTGCTGAACAAAAAGGATTTCTTCCTCTGAAATGGAGAGGAGATGAAGCAGTACCAACAGCTCACGGTGCAAAGAACTTCCAAGTGCACCAAAGAGGCCCACAAAGTGACCCTTGGAGGTGGGTAAATGATTAATAAATGTAGATCGTGGTTCTGTACGGCCATACACGGCCCGCAAAAAAGAGGCCTGTGACATGTCCGAATCAAACATACTCAAAGCATCCAGCGGCCTCGTTCACGGGCTTGGCACTCAGCATCACGGGGTCCTTACACAAAAAGCTCGTGGAAATTGTATAGATGAATGCTCTCTGAAGTCGGCCTTGTTTCAGTGCGTGTCTCACAGCCAGCTGAATATCCAAGAAAGACTGGAACAATTTGTTAATATACTGGAAACTTCTCACCTACAAATGTTGGGTCTGAGTTTATCCGAGACCATCTGCAGGATTGGTGGATTTGATTTCTGAAAAACGCAGCTAGAAAAGCTGTGACGAATGGAAGCACACTCGCAAAGAACCACCTTTCACGCAACACAACCAGGAGCGCCCAAGCTGGCGGCGGCTGTCCTTCCCTACTGACCAGTCATCAGTTCTTGGATGAACTGATGAACTGCCATATATGATGTCACAGGGTTGTATTGCCATACATATTGTTCCATATTATGATGCCTCTCTCCCCCATCTCCCTCAGTCACTCTCCCTCCTTCTGTCCCTCACCTGTCACCCAAATGGGAGGTCTGGGATGTCCGGGTAGGTGAGAATTGTGATGTGTCAGTTGAACATACGTCTGCCCATCTTTCTCCCCCAATTGGCAGAAGGGCCTAGAATAGAAGCGGGAGGCTTCAACTTGGCGTAGCCTTTCTTTACAGCATTCCTTTTCACCAAAATGGTTGGGTCACACCTGCCAGCATTGGTCAAGGGCACCGTAACCAAAGCACAGAAGGAGCCCGCCACCATACCCAGAATCGTCGCGAGAGTTCCCCTGCTAGGGGCCATGGCTCCCGGCTTGTCTCAAGTCTGGAACGCCAATTTCTCGTGGACTTCTACCAAATATCTAATATACTTGAGGCCAGAGGGGGTGAACGAAAGCTAGCCGGGCTTCCGGTGGTCTGCTGCTGGTGCTGCTGCTGCTGGTGCTGCTGCTGCCGCTGCTGCGCTGGGCGCTGCTGCGCTGGGTGCTCTGCAGGCGCCGGGTCGTCTGCTGCTGCTGCTGCTGCCGCCGGGTGGTCTGCTGCGGCTGCTGCTGCTGCTGCCGCTGCTGCGCTGGGCGCTGCAGATGCTTGGTGTGCTGCAGCTGCTTGGTGGTCCCGCTCACCGCGCGCAGGGGGGAGTCGAACCGCGGGGGGGGGGGGGGGCCATAAGATTGATTTAATCAATTATTTGAGGTTTCTGAGGTGCGTCCACCCCGTCACTTAACTTGCTAAAGCAAGAGCAACTCCAGCTAGCTAAGGCTAGCTTTCGTGAAAATACAATGTGAGTCTAGCACTCTCCACATTGAACAAAAACCAACCAAAGCCTGATGTTGTTTTCTTTTTCCTTCTATGATGTGTTGTTTGGTCTCTCCCTCTCTCTCTCTCTATCTATCTATCTATCTATCTACCTATCTATCTATCTATCTATCTATAATATATATATATCTCTCTCTCTCTCGCTCCCTCCCTCCCTCTCTCTCTCTCTCTCTTTCTCTCCCAGCACTGTGTCATATGTCTGCCATGAACATTTTCACGTCGATTCTTGACACTACTTCGAAACAGGTAAAAGCCCAGGAGGTTATTGTGTATGTAGAGTCGGCATTGAATTCCTCCAGACACGGTGAGTCGCCCAAACGCATGCTTTCCAAATGCCATGCTTTGTTCCTTCAGCTTGCTTGCTCTGTCTGGAGCCTGGAACTATTCAAAAGCTGAAGCCAAGCACAAAACTGTATCACCTTCAGCATCCTTCAGCAGTTTTCAGGACAGGAAGAGATGGCAAGTTGTCAGACTCCAAGAATAATAAGCACTGACCGTGCTGGTGCAGCACCCCGGCTGCAACAAAATGGTGGCACACTACATCCGACAGAATTTAGGATGTCCAATGTGGGAACATCTCTGACTGGATGACTATGTTCCAGTTGGCTTTTGGACTTCCCGACCTGCTGTCTACTGCGATGTGCTGTAGGATGAGTACCACCAAGGAACCCCCAAGGTGTCGTTAAGCACACGTGCTGCCATGCTTATGAAACCGTTCTTGTTCTACCTCTCCGTCGACTGTCTCGCCATTCGCTATCCTCTTATATTCTTGGCTGTCCAAAGGTCCTTTGCCAAGGGTTTGACCTCCAGCGGCTTAGTAAGAAGTACGCCTGAGGGCAGTCAAGTATTCTCTTGGGTCTTAATGTGGTCTCTTCCGTCTCTGCCTCTTTCAACTCCTTCTTCTCGTGGGGAGTGCGAAAGGACAGCGCCTAAGCCAAGGGCGGATCACTGCACTTGCCGCCTTCAAAGCCAAAAACTGATAGAATGACAAACTGACTTGATGAGATTTGTCGTCAATTCACGTCTTGACCACCACTGATTCTACCAGAATTTGAGGCTGCGCCAAGCAAAATCACACACCTGGACCACCTCGTGTTCTGTCAATCAACCTCAATCCTGGAAAGTCCTCCTAAAAAAACCGTTTGGTCAACCAAATCAATGACCACTTGGGATTATGTATGATGTACGGTATGCATTACATAGGATTTACATGTATTTCATTGTATTTACATGTTTGCTCTGCCGGGCGGCAGGAAGCTCTTTGACCTTCTCCATCATGGCTTTCTTGTGAACTTGCCAGGCCATCTTCGCCCTGGGGCACCATCTGAAAAGGTCTTGACCGCCCTTCGTTTCAGGTTCAGGCTTGAGTTCGTTTCAGGGTCTTCACTGCATTGCTGTTGGGTTCGGTGTCAAATCAACCGGCTCCACCATGCATGGGATCACCATGGTTTCACCACAGGCACCTGGGCCGTTACAGCTGAGATTTTTCGGCTGACACGACAGGACACGTGGAACAAGGTGCACAGTGTTACACGGTGCCCAAACCTTGGCACTTGCACCTTCTTGGGCCCTGAATGTGCAGCCATATTGTTCTCAATTTAGACTCAGCTGAGTGGCGTCTCTTGCTCCGCGTCCTGCTCTTGCCTGAGCCGTAAGCAATCCTGGCGGATCTCCGCCATCTGGGCCTGGACGCACTGTGATGAAGCTGAGAGTAGGACGTTCCTCCCTGGACGACCTTTTGTTTAGAAAACTCAACCTTCTGGGAAAACTAGACCTGCCAAATCATTGGCCAACCAGTATGTAACACCAACCTCTAGGACCTAGTTGGCGGTTAGGGGATGCATGGAACACAATATGTGTGGGTGCCGGGTGCGTTTTAAATGATCACCCGCAATCTTGATCCAATCTGCCTGGAAGCTGGCTTGGGACCAGTGAGATTCGTCAGGTCACGGAGTTCAATGCGGCCAAAAACGCAATTTCACCATGTTTCGGTGCTGAGAATTGCCGCGCGGAGTTGGCACAAAAAGGTGGGATTGAGGTCCAGCTTATATACGCGGAACCAATTCAATCCTGGACTCCTCAGTATGAACATCGCATCGTCCTCGCACTCTCATTCCCGTTGGTGCTGCACATGTCCTAGGACCCACACAATCTGCAAGTTCCCCGGTCATTGTAGGCCAAAATGAAAGTGGCCTCTTTGTACAGAGGTTGCAGCTGCTCCGCTCCAACCTGCTGCTGTTTTGCTGCGCCAAGCACGTCAAGTGCCATCAGAGCTTTGCGGGCACACATGCGAGATCAGGTGTAGTGGCACCCAACACTACTATTTTTGCTGGTGACTGAAGCCCAAAATTTGTCCAAAATGCTAATGACAATGGCCAAAGTTATTGAAACCACTTGTCTTGGAATGTCGTTGGAAATTCTTTGGATAGACTGTAGAAAATCCCAACACCAGCATGATTTGTCATTGCTATCCCCGTAGAACTTAGCATGGTCATCTCTGGCCACCCGTTTTGTAAGAGGACATAATTATTTTAGATAATGACAAGGCCCTCCTCATCTGGCTTTACAGAATGGTAGGGTTTCACCACCTTAAATCCAAAGTGGCTCAATGTGCACATCCCGGGGCATGAGTCATGAGAAGCAAATTGCCTATCAAATGACCTATGCGAACTGCTGAATGCCCGAACAGGACCAAACGGCGTCTCCGACAACCTCCGCAAGACCAGATTTTGTAGGACCTCTCTTTCTTTACCTCACACTCAGTCACACTCAGGGGCTCATGATTTGGCGAATGAATTGTCAGGCTGACCAGCATGTTTGTTTTGTTTAACCGTGGTTGGATGAATAGTCACCTCGAAACATGTTCATACTAAATGAAACATCAACGGGTCCAATTTCGTCATATTCATTCTTAAATCAAGATGACACGACGAAATGCCATCTACTGTGTTCTAACAGGAGCAAATGCCTGGCTGTTGTTTACCAGTGAGGTCTTGAGAAGAGGGAGACACGAAAGGTAAGAAACCGCACTGGGGGAAACCGCAAGGCGCGTACACTTGCATCCCAAAAGAAGTTTGTTGATCCGATGATTTGGATCCACTTCGGGACGACGTGGGGGGGGTCTGTATGACACAATATCAATTCCAAGCGGTTTGGTCTAAACGGTGGTTGGTGTAAGCCGTGGTTTGGTGTAAACGGTGGTTGGTGTAAGCCGTGGCTTCGTGTAAGCAGTGGTCGGTGTAAACCGTGGTGTGGTGTAAACAGTGGTGGGTGTAAACCGTGGTAGTGGTTGGGTGTAAACATGTGTAAACGGTGGTTTGGTGTAACGGGTGAGTGGTTGGAGTAAAACGTGGTTTCAGATCTACATCCGATGCGCTGCACCAGTAATTGCAGATCCGAGCAGTAGCAGTGGATGCGTGGCGTGAATGCAAATCTGAGCCGTTGATCCAAGTGACATGAGAGGCACCCTGCAAAATCACAAGGTGTGGGGAATGGCTTCAGTTTCCAACTTGATCACTTGTTTACAAAGTCAAGGACAGAGAAAGGACGATATATATATATATATAGTGTCTTCGAAACTGAAAGACTCTGCTACTGGGAACCCGGTATCAATGACTGGCTGCGCGACTGTAGGATCAGGTTGTGAAGAGTGATTTTGTAGGGTAGTATTGTGCCTCGGCCTTTTTGTAGACACTCACTGTTTGGAACCCCACACTTACTTACACGCGTATGATTGTGTCTATTTGTGGAGAAATAGACAGCTAGCAAGGCAACATGACGGAGAAAACATGTGCGAACAAATGAATCTTAGGGACCATTTTGTAGAGAGCAGATTGTCAGCATGTATTATGAAAACGCATGCTGGGTCTTGAAGCCTTCGGCTTGCGGACAGAGGATTGTGTTGAGAATTGTTTTAAGATTCTTTTCCAAAAAGAGGTTTGTGGAAGGGCATGTTGTAGAGAACATCGGGACCAACACTATTGGCTTCGGTAGGTAGGTTCAATGTGTCTGTCACACATTCCGATTCTACTCGGCCTCTTCCTCTACAAAATGAACATTCCAATAGAACAATGGACAATATATTGTTACCGAAGTTGTTTATCTACAAAATAAAATTAGTACAGTTCAGACTCTACAAAATGCAAATCTGAAAGACCCCATTCGTCGCAACCAAAAACCGAGCATGACATGAGTATAAAATGGGCTGACTACATGACCTCTAGTGCCTGTCGGCCGTTTTCCTAAAATGGGCCCTTCACAGCGAACCCAAGTTCACCCATTCATGTTTTCACGGGGATTCATTGCCATGATAGTTACTTTTTAAAATAGTCTTCTTCTATCCTGTTCAGGATGGTGAGAGCGCTGGTTCTGTGAAGCACAACATGGTTGCGTTTGTGCAATTCGGAATGTGTTTTTTGCTACTGAGGCCAGGCTTGAAGGCAAAGCTTCTTCTTGGAAGTGCTTTAAGGACTTTAGGAAGTGCAGATGCATCTTGTCCCCTTAAGCACCCTAAGGCCCTAAGG